CCCTCACTACCCCAGTCACTGAATCAATCTACCTCATCGAGGATCTTCCTCTCTTGCGCTGTCCCTAATCAAGTATAAACTCTTGATTATTGTTTTAAAATTCTGTAAAAATATATTGAAAAGCTTTAAAGTTGTCTAGGAAGGGGTGTGGGAATCAGGGAGCCCTCGAGGGCAGAGTGTGTGGGGTCTCTGTGCTGGACCTCCAGCCCCCCTTGCAGTCTTGAGCACAGTGGTTCCATGGGCTGTGTGTGCCTTACAGGGGGCCACCTGGGGACAAAGCGAGGAGGACACTGTGGATAGGAAGGCGGGCAAGTGCTCGAAGACGCCCCTCTTGGGCTCTGGAAAGGGTCCCAAGATGTCCATGTGTCCAGATGTGTCTCGAGTCCATGGTGGCTTCCAAGTCGATTGTGCCTCCCTCTCCTGCCTCCGCCTTTGTCTCCATTAGGGACGCGGCCTGGGGCTCCAGACACTCCAGCCAGGTTCTGCAGTCTCTTGAACAAACATCCTCTTGAATAGCAGGTCCGGCCTGGCAGCTCCAACAGACCCCGGAGCGCGCAAGCTTGTGCTCGAAGGGGTGGCCCAGCGCCCAGAGTCCCTCAGAGTCCCGCACAAGGACCTGCGCCTGAGTCGTTTGCCTCGTGCGCTGCCAAATCCCAAGCCAGCCTCCTGCAGGAACAGCACCGGTGGGCCAGTATCTTCTGACCTTGGACCAGAAAAGGCCTCTTTCTGCGCGGAGATGCACGAAAGTTCGTGCCTGGCCTCTTAGGTGTCAGAAATTATACTGAAGAGCAGAATGGTGGCTGCTGGTGCTAATTCCAGGAGCACACGTACTGGAAAGGCAGAAACTAGGGGGCAGGTGGGGGGGGGGGCAGAATAAGGTCCAAATCGGGTTACCCTGGATATTTCCAAAATGAAACTGATTGAAGCGTGTGTTGAAGAGGAAGGAAGCAGGATAAATCCCAGTTGGCAAGCTGGTAAGAAACCACCACTGACAAGAGCAGCAGTTATCTGCCGCAACTAGCTGTCACAGACAATCCTCTGTTCAGAGTGTCTTCTTCAGGTGCAGGAAGGTAGGTTGTCGGCACACTGAAGCTCTATTCACAGGTCAGGGCAGCGCTGGGGTTGGAGTGTAATTCTGGTTTCCAAGCAGTCTTGTGTTGTGGAAGAGCCAGTCAAAACTCCGGCTTGACTTGACTGGGGAAGAAAGCACCAAAGATCCCTCTCTCTCCCTTAAACTCTTGACTTTTACTTTATACAAGACAGAACCTGCAGAATTACAAACTGTGGATAAATTCTTTCTTTCTTTTCGCAAATAAAGTCCCAACAACTTTGCATTATGTGAAGTCCTTTTTCAAAATAAATACTTCAAAAGAAAATCTTTCCATGTCTTTTGCTCATTTTGTAATTGGGTTATCAGTCTATTTTCTTACAGAGGCCCAGGGGTATTCCGTACACTTTTGTTATAAGACTCTTGTCCAAGATGGTATTATCAAAAGTTTGTTCCCAGTCTGTAGGTTTTCTTTTGACCCTGTTGGGAAAGTTTTTGATGTGCACTGAGATTTAATCTTTAGAGGATCCCATGCATCAATTTTATCTTTTTTAAATTGTGCATTTCTGGTTCTTTCTATCTTGAACTCCACAGAGGAAGATATTTGAATGGCAAACAGACACATGAAGAAATGCTCCAAATCACTGGCAATAAAAGAGATGCAAATCAAAACCACAACGAGGTACCATGTCATTCCAATAAGACTGGCAAAGTTTAACAGGGCAGCAAGTAATAGATGTTAGAAAGGATGTGGCGAGAAAGGAATACTTATACATTGTTGGTGGGTTTGTAAAATGATGCAACCATTCTGGAAGGCAGTTTGGCACTTCTTCTAAAAGATGAACACAGAAATTCCCTAAGACCCAGCTATTCCATTAGTTGGAATATCCCCTGAGAAAATGAGAACTGAGACACAAACTGAGATTTGTACACCAATGTTCACAGCAGCATTATTCACCATCGCAAGAACATGGAAACAGCCTAAATGTCCAACCACAAACAAATGGATTGAGAAGCTATGGTACATTCACACAATGGAATACTATGCAGCACGCAGGAGCAATAACTTTGTAAATTATTACCTAACGTGGGAGGGACTGGAGAGCATTATGCTGAGTGAACTAACTCAGTTCCACAAGGACAAATATTATATAAGACTGTTATTGTAGAATGAGCGATGGGAGAGGCTGGAAGCAGAGGAATGTGGATGTACAGGGGGGAAAGGGGATTAACCATTGGATTGTACAATTTGATGGGGTGCGGGGGTGAAAGAATCTGTCCAAATTTGTACTAGAATTTTGTAAATAAACTAGTGAAAAAAAAACTCAAAGTCTAAAGGTAGAAAACTCTGGTCAGAGTCTTAAAAAAAAAGTCTCTACTCTCTATTGTTGATGCATGCTCTATTGAGACACTTCCACTCACAGTAGATCCGCTCATGGGGTGTTCTTGGTTGTGAGCGTTCCAGGAGTAGATCTCCAGCACTGTTCTTTCTTGCAGAACCCCTGAAGGGATTAGAACCACCAACCTTTTGATTTTTCAATTGAATAGTCACTGAGCCATCAAGGTACCTTCTTCACTCACTAAGGGGATAGAAGTAGATCCCTGTCCTTTTCAGGGCTGCAATGGGTTGACTGCCCTAATGGCTTTCCTACTTCATTTCACTACATGGCTAAGTGGAACTAAGCTAATGTAAATGAGATAAATAGCACCTTTTGGGCAGAAATGTACAAACTAAATGTGTGGATACTAATGATGGTCAGTCTTTCCATCCCATCGGGCTTAAATTGACTAGTTTAGGAACAGAAGATGGGAAGCTTACTATGAGTAAGAGATTCCGGTACCAATCATACCAGGACCAAGAAGAGAGAAATAGCTGTGATGAATCGGTTGAAACACTGACCTAAAGCCAAGAAACTCAAAGTAGAAAGGCCTATGAAGGATTATGTCTTATTTCTCACCTGAATTGCTCACATACTTTGGGCATGTTGCCAGGAGGGTCTGGTTGTTGGAAAAGACATTATGCTTGGAAAGGTGGAGGGACAGCGCAGGAGAGGAAGACCCTGGATGAGATGAACAGGCTCAGTGATGGGGGAAATAGGAATAGGTGTGCTGGAGATAGTGAAATTGGCTCAGGATAGGGCAGGGTTCAGAGCTACTGTACCTAGGGCTGCTACGAGTCATAGGTGACTCCATGGTACATAACAACAACAACTTCCTTAGTGAACCCCGTAATCGTGACTTTGGTTCTGAGTTCTATGTGGCTATTGCCACAGATCATTAGGCCCAGCGGTGGAGCAATGAGTGGCATTTGGTGTTAGAAGTGACAGAAGTAGTCACCAGAAGCGTGGCACTTATGACCTCATGGAAATGGGTTTTGTTCTGTGGATGTTGTGTATTGAGGACGATTCCTCCTTGTGGAACTAGCAGGGGTCAGATGTGGCTGCCTTCTTGTTTCTCACATTCTTCTTACACCTCTGACAAACCAGTATCCTGATGATGATTCAAGGAGTGGAAGACCCCTAACCTTGGGACAAAGATTTGAGGAGATGTGAGGACTAAAGGAACCTTCTACACCTTCCCCACATGATGATGCCTCTGATCATTTAATGTGCCAAACACAGAATCTCACCTGCCTTCCCCACAGTGCCTTCTCCAAGGTCACCCACATCACTGGAGAAGTATTTTTAAACTGGGAATGTCAACACCAAAATGTGAGGACAATCTGGACACGTGGTTTAATTTCAAGTCACCTTACAATATACTTTTTAAAACATAAAACACTTGAACACAAATTGCAGCTTAAAACCGTTCCCATGCAGTACATAGATCTTTGTTATAAAGAGATAAAAAAAGGAATAGCCTCCAAGTAGTTTAGTTACTGAACAGCCAGAAAGAATATAATCTTCAATTAAAAACAAAAAACATCCAAGTGTTTAAAAATCTGCTTTAATTTTCTTTTCATGAATCCTAAGAACATTTTGCTTAATGTTTAAAAAGGGCAAGAGAGACATTTGAACATGCAATAAAAAATGAATTTACACTGAAAAGAACTCGTGTTGATACTAAAATATTTGGCTCAGCTCCCTGAAAGGAAAAGATTCATTCCTTTTGATTATTTACTTGGATTTTTTGGGGTGTGAAAAAAAATCTTTTTTTTTTCCTTGAAAGCTTTTGAGAAGTGTCCAATGTATGCTACTATTACCAGAGTCTGACGTCTCTCATTCCGTAAAGCCATTATTTGCAGTCTCAAATTTAATCAGAAAAACTCATAAGTACAACAGATACCTTGGCAACTGTCTTCCTGTTACATACTAAGCCATTAGCAAAAATAAGTAACAAAATGTAAAACTAATAATTTTGTCCTTATGTATGTACAGACATCTGTTCTTTTCTTCCTATCTATACTAAAAGAGGGAAAACAGCTACTCATGTCCTTGAAATTCTATCCTGGGTAGAGTGAAGAACTCTTTGCAGCAAGGTAACTATTTTGAACATCTTTCAACTGAACTATAAAAATGTACCTGGGCTTCTAAACAAAAAAGATGGTAATGGCTTTCAAACATTAAGAATTTCATCCCTTTGTCCTTTGCGAAGTTTAACAGAGTTAAAAATGGCTACATTTGTGACTACAATCAGAGGACACAGGACAAAGAGCATCTTGGCAAAACACAAGTATGTTACAACCCAAGCCGCCAGGCAGGTTCACAGCTACGGCATGCGCGTACTTCATACATCACACAGCTCACGGGCTCACGCGCACGTGGGGATGTCACAGAATCTGCGCACAAACACGGACCCAGGGAGGAACACAGGAAGCCAAGGCGAGGCCAAAGTACAAGTTTAAAAATACAGATTTAAAACCACCTCGCAGCCAAGGGGCACATTTACTAGAAAGGAAAACAGGGTCTACAGGCTACTTTTGTAAACATGGAAGATGTGGCGTCACCATCACTCACAGTCTCAAGAGAAAGTAAATCTCGGGCTTGCCCTCCGCGCTCGGCTCAGTCTGCAGCACGGGAGCGTGGGAACAGGGAGCGTGGGAACAGAAAGGGTCCACGTAGCAGCAGCCTCGCGCTGCGCATGCGCCCTCGGGGATGCCGCGGCCTTCCAGGCCGCCAGGGCGGCGGCTCAGGTAGCCGGCGATGTAGGAGCCGGTGGAGTGCCGGTTCGCCACGGCAGGGGGCGCTGCAGGCTTGTGCCGCAGCACCACGCCGGCCGGGCCGCTGGGCGGCGCCGCTCTTTGGCGGCTGGCTTCCTGCTTCTCCTTGGCGCGGCTGGCGATGTTGCGCACGCGGCTCTGGCTTCGGGACGACAGCTTCCGGACCAGCGCCCGGGGGAGCTGGTTCGCCTCGTGCTTGGCAGACAGCGCCTGGCAGCCATCTTCCTGCTCGAAGGACACGAGCCTCCGCAGTTGCTCCGTCAGCGCATCTGCGGGCTCCAGCAGCTTCGTCTTCACTAGCGCGCCCTTCTTGTCTCTCGGGCTTGTTGTAACAAAACTCTTGCTGATACACTGGTACTTGCTTTCGAAGTTGCAGGCGATGTCCTCCGACGTCAGGTCGCCCAGACTCTTGGACTTGCACGGGCTGGGCAGTGCACGCGCGGGCGGAGGGCGGCGCGCTGCAGGTGGACGCACGGGAGCATGCGCCACGGGAGCGTGCGCAGAGGGAGCATGCGCCGTGGGAGCATGCGCTGTGGGAGCATGCGCAGGAGCGTGCACAGCCAGAGCACAGTGCACCAGTGGCGCGCACGCCAGGCTGGTTTTTGAACCTGGATTTGACAGGTGGTTAAGCGCAAAGCCAGCACCCTGGCAGGCTAGCCAAGAAGTACTTTGATAATGATCATCGTGACTCCTGGGGACTGTTTCAGGGACAGAATCGAGGGCGATCTCATGACAGCAGCCATTTCTCAAACCATTTTGCAGGTGTCCCGCCACCTCTGGGCCAGGCTTCGGCTTTAAAGGCGAAGCCGGCTGACTCGAGGCCCCTCTCCTAGAGTCACAGGTGGTTATGGAGAGATTTTCTGAGTCTCCATCTATTTCCACAAGACTGCTGTCTGCAGAATTGAAACAGAGTGTGGGATCAGCTGCAGCAACGTCCGGTATCAAACTGGGGCACGCGATGGAGCTGCAGTTTTTCAGTGTTTGCCAGTCTTTTCCCTTGCTGGGACTGGTTGGTAACCAGCAATGAGAAGTCGGAGGGGGCGCAGGCAGGTTGCCTTCTGTACTCTCTGTCTTGGCGTTAGCAGAGAGCCTGTCATCTAGTTTGGGTTTAGAGATGGGCGTGCAGGTGGTTGGGTGAATGACTGTGTGCATTGCATGTTCTGTGCTCTCTGGACCTGAGAAAGCCACAGGCCCAGGAGATGAGGGCAGGAATGATGACTTGGGCTTCCCTCTGAGAAAACCATCCATGCAGGGCGGTTTTAAACCATTGGTGGATAAGGGAGGAAGGCCTGACACCGCACTGGGACTATGGAGATGTAGAGCCACTGTGAGGTTAGCCTGATCGCAGGACTCATCAAACTGGCCAATAAGCGCCGAGATGGAACTGCCAGGCTCATTCTCATTTGATAGAGTAACATTGTCAATAAGTTGAGAAATCCCACTGTCTTGCAGAATGGCTGTGGAATGTGACTCAGGCATGTCAGCTGAGAGTGTGGAGATGTCTGATAAAGAAAAACACGCTGCAGGCCTGCCCTTCCCCCTGTCTTCTTCCTGACAATTCATCTCCAGATTGCTTTGAGGAAGGATGCCTCCGGCCAGGGTGCCTCTCCCTTCCACAAAGCCCTCCGCGTTCCCATTGCCTTTGGTTTTCATGCCACACAGATCTTGTGCAATGTTTACTGCAGGATCAAAATTCAAAGACTTCACTGGGGAGAGGGCTTTGTTGACATAATGGTTTTCCTGACAAGCATTTGTCACATTTGACTTGAGTCTTCCATCCCTCGAACCTGACACTTCCAGAGGTTCTCTTGTGATGGACAGATTGGCAGTAGATGCAGCTGGGCCTCCGTGGCTGGTAACTTTGTGGAGGAGAGGGCTGGATGAAGACGAGAGTTTTTTGTTGAAATTTTGATCTTTTATATTTTCTTTCCCTTTTCTTCTTTCATCCTGGTCTTCTGCCAAATAAAACAAACAATATTTTAGGTGACATGTACCAAGTCATGTAGGATCTGTAAACACGTTTGTCTTCAGACAGACAGATGGAAAATGCAGATCTGTTACACTGTGACAGAATATAATTATGGATTGCAGAGATTTGCAACAAAGTGTTTGTGTGATGAGTGAATGGTACAATATATTTATTCATAGGAATTTCACTGAAGCTTCCCTTTGGATATCTATTACATCAACTGAGGATGTAATATTCATTGTCCAAAAAAAAATGTCAATGAGTTAGCATACTTTTACAGTGAGGATTACCTTGGGTTGTTTCCTATTCAGATTTGTACTACACACAGAGGCATGGCAATAAAAACAGAACAAGACAGCTCTGTTAAAGAAAGTATTAGGATACCTGCAAAGAAGATACTGTAAACTTTCAGAGATAAACATACATTAATCAAAATCATAAGTATTACCATTTTTAAGGGCATTCTAGCAAAAATCTTATTTAACCAATTCTTTCTAAAATAAATGAGGTTTAATAAGTGCATTAAATATGACATCTATTGACTTAAAAATGATAAACATAAAAAAGGGGTTACCAATTCTATGAACTATTGGTTTTGCAATCATATTCTCATTTGTGAATGTATAAATATTATATGTCTTATTCCTTACACGTCAGTATCACGCTAGGTATAATAAGCAAACTGTAAAAACATATTATTCACAGTAATTTGCAGAACTCTCATATCATGTATCTTTAGTATTATGCTGAAATAATAGTAGGTGTTCAATTATTCTTGATAAAAATTATTTAGTAATGTCTTAATGCTTTCAGACTCCTGATGTACACAAATTTAACTTACTTTCCTAAAATGAAACACAAATGTTTTCCATAAAAAAAAATGGAAAATACAAATAACTATAAAAATTAAATATCCTATGATTCCATCACTTAGAAGCAGCCAATTAAAAATTTTACAGAGAAAAGAGTTATGTTCTGTTTCTCCTGATAGTAAACTGTTACATGATTAATGGTATTTTAATTCCTACATCACTATACATTTGTTCCATATACCTATAAAATGTATGGTATGTTTGTATAGACATGTATGTACACATCTATGTGTGTGGCTAATTCAGATAACTTGTATAAAAGGGGAGAATGAGACTGTCTCAGAATGCTCTGTAATTCAGAATGGTGACATTGTTAGCTTATATTATCAACAGTAATTATTACCAGTTTCTATCAAATGTAGCTTCATTTTCCCCAAAGCTAGAAATTGTAAAACAAATTTTAAAGCATATGCTTCTGGTTTTTTTTTTTTATACTGCTGTTCCCAAAATTTTAAACTTACAAAATCTCTTCTGCTTCTTCAAACAAACTATGCAAGAATTGGCTTTTCTTTCTAGAATATCTTAAAACAAAAATCAATATGAGCAAATAGTGTGTGTGAGAAATGAGATCATTGAAATTAGATTGTCTGATAGAAAGAATAATTCCCGAAAGGAAAATTGGTATCATATTGATTCGCAGTGATGCACACTTAATTAGAACACATTTTTTTTCTAGAGATATCAAATGGGCAGTTTGGGTGCTTCAAATAGAATGCACCAAATATTTTCACAAATGTCAATAATTTTAAGAAGTTTGAAACTATAAAGCTGGAGTGGAGGATTTATCACTATAAAAGCTTCCCTTGGTCCACTGCAGAGTGGTCACCACTTTTTATTAAGTGCGTTGTAGAATTCTGCTCATGCTACATAAATGAATGAATGAGTCACAGCCCTCCTGCCTGTGAACCCTGCATCTGGATAGGAGCCAAACTTCCTGCTGTGTGAACATCCAGGGACAAGGTGACTACAACCTAGAGCCCTGTGACCTTGAGCTGCTTCCTCAGGAAGCAAGGAGTTTTCATGTGAAGATGATTCACCTAATGCCTGCACTTTCCTTCTGCCTCCACAAATGGTTCTTTCCAATGATGGAAAAGGAATACAGCTATACTCAACTTTAGAGCAATCAATAATACACGTGCTCTCACTTGGAAACCAAGATCTCTATTCCTGTCACACAGGTGGCCTCTGCCCCCCTCGTCCCTCAGAGACTTTCATCCCTGATGGCCTCTACATTCTTTACTACCAGGTTCAGATAGCAGTGCTATTGTATGGTATTCAGTGGATAGGAAATATCTCTCCTGTAGCCTCAAGTTTAGATCTTGAAAAGCATATTTAAAATGATGTCTTAGTGTATTTGACTTTGACTGTAAAATGTCAGCCATATCAGAATGTTAACCAAAGACTTAAGTGCAGCTTAGGAAAACATATTCTCAGGGAAACTGAAAGGAGCTCACCCAGAGAGTTGGCATTCCCATCGGTGTCGTTGGCTGGGCCGGGCAGAGGCAGGGATAGGGCTCCCAGAAGGCTCTTGTCAACAGGCATAGAGACCGGGCGGGCTTGCAGGCTCCGTGTGGTCCTCCTCAGGACACTGTCCTGATCTCTGGGGGCCTCAGACACGGAATCCTTTATCTCCACCATCTCCTGGAAGCCCATTTTGCTCTTCTTCCTGCCCTTGGCCGGGGCACTGGCTGTGCGGCGCAGAATTCTATCTCCAATTGATCGTTTCCGGACATAATGCGAACTGTTTTCTGAGCTGTGCCTGGGGTTCTTATTGAACAGTCCCTTCAGACCTTGGAGCTGCCTGTTCTGGAGATACCAAAAGAAAGAAAGCAAAAGCCAACACACAAGTAAATGCCATTGTGATGGGGCACTTGCGTTCTCCATGACAATTCCATGAAAAACAAATATAAAACAAAATTGAACAGCCACCAAAGTATATTCAAACCAAGAACACAGCTGCTCACAGCATGTTTGCACAATGTCATGCACAGCTTAATATTATTTTGTGAGGAAAGCAGCCTTTTATTATCACAGCCTAGCTTTTTCGGAAGTTTTCTACCCCCACATGAGAAGGTTGCATGGAAAGCCCCACAGCAAAAATGTGATACGACACTTTGACCACTTCAAAACAATCCCGAGCGTGCCTCAAAGTGGTAAGCAGGAAAATGGGGTGATATGAGAAAGCATGCTGCCATAACCTTTTTAAATATGCCGGCAAACCCCAAACACCATGCTGAACGTCTACCTTTGTAGCTCCTAGAAAGTGCAATATGGTGTAACTGGGGTTGAGTATCAAAGGGCTCCACTGCGAGGCAAAAAGCAAACACAACAAACACCACGTGGGCTCAAGGAAAAGAATATGCATAAACCACTCCTATAAATGATGATTTCTAGTCTGTGGTCTGTTCATTGCCCAACTCAACACCACCACATTGTGGTGTCCCCATCCCAACACAGACACGCTTTGAAAAGAATAACAGGATTCATAAATACACATTTCTTTAGAGGAGACAACAGAAGTCCTCTAGAATGTCTTCTTTGCTCATTTTCATTTATTATGGTCCTAGTTTGAAGCAAATTCTGAAAGTTATTGTTCCTTCGATTATTATTAATGCTAAAAATACTACATACTATACCTGGGATTCCTGGAAGCCCAAGGAACACCTTTATATTCATGTGCAATTTGACCAGGGGAAAGATCTCAACAAGCATCACAAACACAAACCCAGGACCAAACCCGGACACCGTGATAAAATGTCCCCAGTCTTAAAACACATTAACATTGCTCTGCTTACTGAAGTGAGGGTAAAGTTAAGTCTCCCAGCTAAGACTCCATGTGTCCTGATCCTACCAGTTAGGCAAATCACAGTCCTCTTAGCTAGCTTTGAGGACATTTACTATCCATCATGCAGCTTTCAAAACACAGATACGTATGTATATATTTACTTAATTCCCTGACTGGTGTGAAGAGGACATGCTTTTTGGCTGGAGTCAATCGAGACAATTAAGAAAAAAGCCTAGTCATTCATTTTCTTTAAAAATCAGTCACTGGAAAGTAATTCTACTCTGACACATGGTGTAGTCAGTCATAAGTCAGCATTGACCTTATAGCAACTGGTTACTGGTCACTAGTTAATAAATTAGGTAGCAGCAGCCAGGAAATCAAGAGATAAATTGCATTGGGAAAGTCAGCTGTGAGGGACCTCTCAGGAGTACAGCAGAGCAACGACATCAGACTGGAGACTAAGGTGCGCCTGATCCAGGCTATAGTCTTTGCAGTTACGTGCTATACATCAGAGAGTTGGACAGTGACTAGGGATGATAGATGGAGAATTGATGCCTTTGTGTTGTGGTGCTGGATAAGAGTGTTGAATATACCATGGACTTCTAGGAGAACAACATACAAGTTTGTCCTGGAGAGGGTGAAGCCAGAATGCTCCTTGGAGTCAAGGATTCTGAAGCTTAGTCTGACATACTTTGGGCATGTTGCAAGGAGGGACTGGTGCTTGGAGAGGGACATTATGTTTGGGAGAGTGGAGGGATGGCGCAGGAGAGGAAGACCTTCAATGAAATGGATCGATTCTGTGAGTGGAGTGGTGGGAATGAGTGTGTTTGAGATGGCGAGTTTGGCACAGGAGAGAACGGTGTTTAGTGCTCTTGTACATAGGATCGCTATGAGTCGCAAGCGACTCAATGGCACATAGCAACAACCACAAGTTGGGTAAAGAGAAAAGCAAATGACAATAGGGAATGATTATCATTAATGAATCTGATTATTTATTCAGTTAATCACAATAATCAATGGTAATGCTGATTAATTACATCAACCAATGGTAATTAGTATTATAAAACAAAATGTCTGTCAGTGATTCTAAGAAAAGCCAGTATCAGCTTTCTCTGAAATAAAAAACACATTCATTTTTTTTAAAAAAAGAAAGTCAGCCATTGAGAAACTTATGGAACTCGGTTATACACTGACAGACATGGAACAGCCGTGAGGTCAAACGGACTTTCTAACAACTGTTTACTGGTTATCCACAAGGAAGTGGAGGAATAGAAGATAAAAGCCTTAGCCCTTGGTCTGGAAGAATTCCAGCAGCGAAGTTCCCAGTTACTTGGCCTGATTGGAAGACAACCCACTGATGTGAAACTCCAATTGAGCTCTACAGTAAAGAGCACAGAAGAGAACTAGAGTGTGTTTGTGCAGTCCCTTCCTTCTAAGGCCCATATTGTCTTGTGCTGTCACGTCCATTCCACCCCATACCCGTTACCAGCTCATCGCCATCAAGTTGGCACCAAGCGGAACTGCTCCAGTCATCTTAAGGAGGCGAACGACTTCATCTTTCCCCACAGAGTTCAAGTCATCCTTTTGGTTACCACTGTCAAAGCTCTTTTGTAAGTCCTGTAGTGCTTTGGGGAGCTCTGGTGGTCTAATGGGTAAGGAATTGTGCTGTCAAACCAAAGACACATGGTTTGGATCCACCAGCTGCTCTGAGGGGGATAGAAGAGCAACCTCCTCCAGTGCATTTACAGCCTCTGAAAACCTGATGGCGGTCGCCTGTGAGTCCTAACTTGACGTCACCTAACAATACTGCATTTAAATGCTTCACAATTTGTTTTTATTCTACTAAAAACAACAATGCCAAGGTGTTGCCTGCCCAGAACTAGTTGGGATTGCAGCCCGGTTAGCAAGGTAACTAACCAGACATTTGAAACACTACATTTTCTGTTACCGTCTATCAGGGTGGTTTAAAGGAAAAAAGCAAAGCTCAACATTTAACCATAACTTCGTTGTTTTAGGCAAAGAAAGGACTGCCTAAGAGGGTAATGATTTCTTCCATCGTATTAAACACAGATGCTGCAGCTCTGATAGTGCAACCTACAGTGAATTAGGCTGCTGGGTCAAAGGCCATGCCTCTGGTGGTTCAAATCCACCAGCAGCGCTGGGGGAAAACATAGGCAGTCTCTTTCCACATGATTGACAGCCTCTAAAGCAGCTGGAGGTTCAGCGATGCTGCTAATGAGATGGCACTGACTGAGTTATTAAACATAGGATGGGCTCTAGGTAGAAAAAACCAAGTGTGTCTCAGAATAACAGGGGCCCCGTGTACCAGGACCAGACACCCTGGGCTTCCATACACATTTCTGTTAGAGACCCGTTTGTCAACAATTACACCCTTCTTAATGCAGTAAACAACTTCGGTGAGGAACTTAGTGTTGTCTGTGACTTTATGCCCAACGTTCTGTCTTACCTTTCCATAGATTTCATTGATTGTTATGTGGACAAATATAGATGCTTCTGTCAGTCCTTCCAGATAGACATGTCGGTAGCCTGAAAAAAGTAGAGAAAGGTAGTTAAACTTGCATTTGGGGTTATTTTAAGTTTGGAGAGGTTTTTATTGTGCAGCAGGACAGATTGAATTTGTCTCTTCTTGAAGTTTCCTACAGCTCATCAACATTCATAATAGCTAGCACATGCCATAAAACCTGCAAAGGTTAGATCCTGTGTATGGCAGAACGCTGTCAGAGAAAGAAAACGTAAACATCTTCCACTAAAACAAGGGATAGAAAAGTGGTAAGACTGCACCTAGCAAAGGTGAAAAACTCGCTGGTCCTGGAAACTCAGGGCGATCATACCAAGTTCTGATGCTCACAGGTTTTACTATAATACATATTTTATGTATCAAATGTGTAATGCAATATATCATTATATATATTACATTTTATCTTCCAGAGAAAAATGCATAGTAAGTTTGGAGGCAAAAGCCATCCCATACCTACCAGGCACTAGGCTGCTGAAGGTGACAGTTCTTTGTCCAACAAAGTCTCGCCCGATGGGGTCATGATCCCACACAAGGAAGCGGACCAAAGCGATCTCAGGCATGTGCACCGTAAATGTCAGAGTTTCTTCCCACACAGGGTTAAATCCTGCAAGAAACAAGAAAAGCAAAGTCAGAAAATTGAAGGGCTTGGCATAGCAGACGGTGAAATCTGCTTGCAATGGTTATTAAAACTCAGGAAGAATACAGAGACACTGCAGGAAGCCTTCTTCAGAATTTACCCCACTGCTCGAAAATAATTGCTGAAGAAAATTGCCTGGAAATTATCCCATCAATTCTATTAGTCTTTTATGCCAGATCACCATGTAGAAAAGGCATTTTTAGGCAATACTCGGTGAGTGCTTCAGTGAGTATAAGAATCATCTACAGTAATGATCTAAGAATAATGTCTAAACAGATACAATAAAGAATGCTTCCCTGGCTCCTACCATTGCCCTGCCATCCACCGGGACTCCTACTGCTGTAATAATCACTACCAAGTACTGTGCATGTGAAATGCTGCACGTAGGTCATAGGTTTTCTGTCAGAAAACCTCTGCAGGTGTAAGGGTGGGACTGTATTTTCCCTTTCGCTTTTTATTGCTCTAATTAAAAGAAAGGGAACAATTATGACCTCTTGTTGTTGTTGCTGTTGTGTACCATTGAGTCTTAACCAACTTTTAAAAATATGTGGTGGTGGTGGTGGTGGTGATGGTGGTGTTGATTATCGTCGAGTCAAGCAAGACTCATAGTGACCCTGTGAACAAAAGGCTTGAAGCACCCCTACAACTATCGACATTTATCAACATTCATAGAGTTTTCAGAGGCATGTCATTTAGGAAGTGGATGCCACTTACACAAATGTGTGTTCCTTTTTTTGTTGAACAAAGAAAGGTAGAAAATCCAAATGTTTATCGCTTATATTGTAGTTGAGAAAATTGGTGTTGAAGGAAAATTATGTGCCTCAGGTCACGCAGTTCATGACAGGCCAAATCAGACTTTGCCCTATCAATTTTCATTGACTTGTCTTGAAGCAAGACTTTAATAACTGAAAATTTCATCATGCCTATGGATAAGGTGTATCATTTGACTCAAATACTATAAGGAACACTGTTGTTGTTGTTGAGTACCATCAAGTCAGAACCGACCCATAGCTGACCCTCTGATGGGTTTTCAGAGGCTGTTCATTACACAGGAGAAGATTGCCCATCCTTCTCCCGCAGAGCAGCTGGTGCATGTGAACTGTGTACTGTAGGGATTGCAGTGCCCTGTAAGTGTTGTAAATAGCAGATACAAATTATAAAACCTGATAAAATTCAAATATATGCATTTCTGTATTTCTAAAGTTTCATTCTGTCTATGCATTAAGGAAACATTGCTTCTCAGTGCTACAAAAACCTTCACACTAATGAGATCATGGCAGACAAAAAATCATTGAGCTCTCTCTCCTGACCAAGAGAAGAGATTAATTTCTACATTGGTTTTGGGAAGATCTATCATTTCTGAGGTTTAGGGGAAAAAATATTCTTTTGAACTTTGATGAGAAAACACAAGATGGGCAAGTTTCATACTTTAAATGTGTAATTTTGCGAAATAATACGTCTGTTCTACTCTTAAACCTTCAAATTCCTTTCATTCACTTAAATGGAAGCAAACTCCCCTCAAAGTCTCTGTTGGCCGGGACATACGATGAACCCAGGTCCAGCAGTGTGAAAGGCACAGAGATCCTGAGAAACTCCCATGATGGGCTGCAGACAGAACCGTGGGATCCTACGCTTTTCTCCGACTAAGATTTGGAAGTATACCACCAGCTCTTTCTTCCTAGTCCAACTTTTTCTGGAAGCTCTGCTGAAACCTTTTCAGTATAATAATAGCAGAGAGTTGGCTTATCATGAGGTTTGCTGTTCTTGTTGTTAAGTGCTGTATCACCCATAGTGACCCTGTGAACAACAGATCAGAATGCTGTCCTATCTTGTATCATCCTCACACTTTCTGACACACATTAGAGTCCACTGTGATGGTCATCATGTCAGTCCACCTGGTTGAGGAGGGACTTTCTCTCCTTCATTGACTTTCTAACTTTCCAAGCATCTCCATCTCCAAGGAATAGCCCCTCCTAGCAACATGCTTGAAGTATGTGAAGTGAAGCCTCATCATCCTTGCCTCCAAAGAGCACTCAGCCTGCACCGTCTCCAAGACAAATCTCTTCACTCTTTGGGGTGTTCCTCTCCAACACCACAGCTCAAAGGCATCAAGTCTTCTGTCATCCTTATTCATTGTCCAGGTGCATAGCAAGTGATCAGAAAAACCATGGCTTTAGTCCTCAGACTGACATAGTTAGTCCTCAATAATTTGGAGAGTTTTCTAACTGCAGACTTTCCCAGGGCAATATGCCTCCTTATTTCCTGTCTGCTGGTACCCAGGGTGTTAATTATGGGTCCAAGTAAGATGAAGTTGTTGACAGCTTAAATCTTTTCCCCATCTATCATGATGTTGCCTATCAGTCCAATGGTAAGAATCTTTGTTTTCTTGACATTTAAATGCAATCCATGTTGAAGGTTGTATTCTTTGATCTTCTGCAACAAGTGTTTCAAGTCCTCCTCACTTTAAGCAAGCAAGGTTGTGTCATCTGCATAAAGAAGGTTATCAAAAGGTCTCCTTTATTCCTGATGCCACGTTCCACTTCATAGAGTCCAGCTACTCAAATAATTTGTTCAGTATACAGATTAAGTAGGTAGGGCAAGAGAATACAACACTGACACCCTGCCTTATTAATTCTAAACCATGTAGTGTGTTCCCTTCCTCTGTTCACACAACAGCCTCCTGGTCTAAGTAGAGATTTTCCATGAGCATAATTAAGTGCTCTGGGATTCCCATTCTTTTCAATGTCAGCCACAATTTGTTATGATCCACATAGTCAAATGCCTTTGCATTGTCAATAAATCATAAATAGATATTCTTCTGGTATTCTTTACTTTCAGCCAGAATCCATCTGGCATCAGCAATGGAACTATGACCTTTCTAAATCCTGCTTGAGCAAATGGCTGTTTCCCATCTATAAACTGTTCTAGCTGATTTTGAATGATCTTCAGCAGGATTTTGCTTACGTGAGGCATGAGGTTTACTGGCTATGAAATGACCCCAGCTCTCCCTCCAGAGATGAGAACGACCACCACTCCTCTAGGGAATCCCTGTTGTTATGGGCTGTCAAGTCAATTATGTCTCATTGTGACCATACGACCAACAGATCTGAACCTTGCCCATCTGGCACCATCTTTATCATCTCTGATACTCTCAAGTCATTCATTGTTGCAGTCATCATGCCAGTCCATCTTGTTGAGGGTCCCTCTAGGGATCCCAAATTTCTCAAAAGTATTGAAGATATAAATTTACATGTTTGTCAGAGAGGTGAAAAAATGATGAACTACACTTTTAGACAGTTACTAATATGGCATAAGATTTGGGATAAAGAAATCTTGCTTTACACTATTAGAGGGTGGAGAAGGGGGAAGAGACACAGAATGCAAATTATCCACAACATGCAAATATTCAAGAAGCAGCTTTGACAAAGACACTGCCAAATACAGCCAGAAATGCACAATCTGAAGAGGATAAGATTGATGAATGGGACCTTCTAAAGATTAAATCCATGTGTGCATCAAAACCTTTTTCCAGCAGGGTGAAAAGATAACCTACTGACTGGGAACAAACATTTGGTAATACCAGAAGAGTCTCATAATAAAAGTCTACAGAATACTCCTGGGCCTCCACAAGAAAAAGACTGATAACCCAATTATAAAATGGGCCAGAAACATGGAAAGTATTTTCACAGAGGAATATATTCAAATGGCCCACAGACATATGAAGAAATGCTACAAATCACTGGCAATAAGAGAGATGCAAATCAAACCACAATGAGGTACCAAGTCACTTCAGTAAGAGTGGCAAAGTTTAACAGGACAGCAAGTAGTAAGTGTTGGAAAGGATGTGGCAAGAAAGGAACTCTTATACATTGTTGGTGGGATTGTAAAATGATACAACCATTCTGGAAGGCAGTTTGGCTCTTCCTCAAAAACCTGAACATAGAAATTCCATATGACCCAGCTATTCCACTACTTGGAATATACCCTGAGAAAATGAAAACTGAGGCACAAATGGAGACTTATACACCAGCGTTCATAGCAGCATTATTCACTATCACAAGAACACGGAAACATCCCAAATGTCCAACCATAAATTAATGGCTTGAGAAATTATGGTACATTCACGCAATGGAATACTATGCAGCACACAGGAACAATGATTTTGTAAAGTATTACCTAACTGAGGAGGGACTGTAGAGCATTATTCTGAGTGAACTAGCTCAGTCCCAGAAGCATAAATATTGTATAAAACCATTATTATAGAATGAGTATGAGGATCCAAGGGGGAGGTTGAAAGCAGAGGGATAAGGATGTGCAGGGGGAGGGGAAAATTAATCACGGGGTTGTACAATTTGATGGGAGGCATGAGGGAAATTGGAAGTAACTATTCTAGAAAACAATACATTCAAATTTTGTAAATAAACTAGTATTTTAAAAAACAAGAAGTAGCTTTGCCAGAGCATGATAAATTTGTCCAAAAAGTTTTATGTGCTCCAAAACATCTGAAAAGTCATGAGACATTCAGACTTTATGAATTAAAGCTTTGAGGAAAATTATGCATAAAGAAGTAATATAAAAATATTAAACATTTTTCAAAGTAACATCTTGTTGAGGTGATTTTCATTGTAGTAAATATGTATGTAACAAATCCTTTGTCATTTCACCATTCTTCATGCATACAAAGTGGGGACATTAGTTCACTATGTTATTCAAATACTTTGATCTGTGTCCAGCATTTTCCATCACCCTTAACAGAAGAAGCTCAGTAGCCCCTACCTGTCTCCCTTCGCCTTTTCCCCTTCCCACCTGCTCATAGTGACCACTGATAAACAGTGGCACAAAGGGAATTTTTAATTCAGCCCTTTGAAAATGGCTTTAATCCTAGTCATTAGAGAAAATTTTTGCTTCAAAAACAAGTCTTGAGAGCACAGGTCACAACACCCATCAAAATATAACAGGTATTACTCACACATTTGTTTAATGTTTAAGTGAAAAAGACCAATTCAGACAGCACTTAAGAGATTCTAGTGATTTGTTTCTTTACTGAATAAGTATTTTTCTTTTTCAATGAAAGTTCTCTTTCTAGATCATATTGACTTGAATATGATTTATCATCTTACCATTGTCATCCACCACACGGGTTTGATCTTTACAACAATCTACAGGCAATCCGATGATTTCAACTTCAACAAAGGGGTCAATAATCTATGGAAGAAGAAAGAATTGTTACAAATGACACATTTCCATATGCATGTGAATTCATTTGAGAATATTGCCCAAGTGTCCACAATTCAACAGCAACCCATTTTATTAGGAGTTTAATAAGGGAACAAAGAACTCTGGAGGCCTAGTGGCTATGGAGTTGCACTGTCAGCCCAAAACATGAGGTTTGAATCCAGGTCTCCTTGGGAGAAATGTGGACAAACTCCTCGTGTGCACTGTACACCTTTTGTAAACAGAGAGTCAGTTATGAGTTGGTTCAAACTCATGGGCAAACAACAACATAAAACAGGGTAAAAGAACTGTGCCAAGTGCACTCAGAACAGAAACAAAGGATTGAATTAAAGGAAAATACAGTGATATTTGTTTGCCAGTATTTACTAATGCTGCCAGACTTTATCTAGTGAACCTACAATTTCATTCCTGAGTGCATACTTAACACTGCCCAATCACACATGCATGAAATGGCTGTCTCATTACAAACTGGAAGCCAATCTAAATGTCTATCCTGAATAAGATGGATAAAATCTAGGGGGAAGTCATCAAACTCATAGCTGCTGAGTCAAAACCAACTCATAGCTGATCCTCCTGGTTTTCAGAGGCTCAGGAGCTCATCCATCTTTCTCCACAGAGGCAGCTCGCGGATTCAAATCAGCAGAAATGCACTGCTTTGGGGCTAGCAGTGCAACTGCCTATGAACTCCACCAGCAGAGCCCTCTGTAAAATTGAATACACAAGAATGAAAAAGAAACTTCTGTTAATAGGCATAATGTTGGACATAAGAAGCCACACATAACTCATGCCTAACACTTTTAATTTAATCAAAATACAGTTAATCATAAAAAAGGCTAAAGCATCTACAGATACATTCACTACAAAGTTCAAATGGCTAAAACATACCCATTAGCTATTGTTGTTGTTATGTGCCGTCGAGTCACTTGTGACTCATAGCGACCCTATGTACAACAGCCCTAAACTCTGCTCTGTCCTGTGCCAATCACACTGTCTCTGACACTCCCATCCCGATTACCCCAGTCACTGAATCAATCCACCTCCTAGAGGGCCTTCCCCTCCTGCGCTGTCCCTCTACCCTCCCAAGCATGATGTCCTTCTCCAAGGACAGGTCCCTCCTTACAACATGTCCAAAGTATGTTAGACGGAGCCTCAGAATCCTTGCCTCCAAGGAGCCACCCAGTTTAATTCTTTCCAGGATGAATTTGTATGTGCATTAACTATTGCTGTTTGTTGTTGTTAAGTGCCATCAAGTCGCAGGCGACTCATAGCGACCCTATGAAGGAGAGTCCTCGATGCTTGGGTGCCTTTCATCCTCTCTCCAGGTTCATAGGGTTTCCGGAGGCAAGCTATTATGGAAGTGGATGCCATTCCTTCCATGCTTGTTTTAATCAGGGAGCTCCACCCCACTCTCTGTCCACATTGGGTAGCCAACCATTAACGCATTTGACACATCCGTGTCACAGTGTTCAGCCTCACAGCAATCACAAGTGACCCTGGGATGGCAACTTGTACACCAGGGCTATACGACCTATAGAAAACCCAAATCAAAACCATAATAAGGTACTGCTTCACTCCCACTAGAAAGGCTAAAACTTAAAGAAAATGCAAGGAAGCAGAAAATAACAAATGTTGGTGAGGCTACAAAAAATAATGATTCATTGCTGAAGAGAATGCAAGATGGTACAGCTATTGTGGAACACAATGTGGTAATTTCTAAAAAAAAACAAAACAGAAACACCATATGGCTCAGCAAATTCCACTCCTAAGTATACAAATCAAAGACTCGAAGGCAGAACTCAAAAGGAGACTTTTTTGTTTATGAAGCCAGTGTTCGTCATAGTCAAAAGGTGGGACAATCAAAATAATTCCCATGAAAATGAATGTATAAACACAATGGGGCAAACAAAATCTTGTTTCCTACAAGCTTCAGTACATGTGGAGCTTGGACATATGATATGTTAAATAAGTAAATCACAAAATAGAAAATACTGTGTGACTTCATGTTTTCAAAAGAAGGCAAATGTACAGAGATAGAAATGTATTAGTGGCTAAAGGAGTGGGAGTGAGAAAGGGGAAATGGTCATAGAAAAAACACATTGGTTAAAGATGGGGCTGCAAAGCTGATTATTTTAATGCTGTTGATAAATTTTGTACCCATAAAAAGCTAAGTTGGAAACTATAGAGGAAGAAAAAAAAAAGCTGAGTTTCCAGATATCCATATGGCAAACAGACACACAAAGAAATGCTCCAAACCACTGGCAATAAGAGAGATGCAAATCAAAACCACAATAAGGTACTGTCTCTCCCCAGCACTCCAGTAACAGTGACAAAGTTTAACAGGGCTGCAAATAATAGATGCTAGAGAGCATGTGGCGAGAAAGGAATTCTTAAACATTCTTGGTGGGATTGTAAAATGGTGCAATCACTCTGGAAGGCAGTTTGGCACTTCCTCAAAAAGCTGAACATAGAAATTGCGTATGACCCAGCTATTCCATTACTTGAAATATACCCTGAGAATATGGGAACTGAGGCACAAACTGAGATTTGTACACCAGTGTTCATAACAGCATTATTCACCATCACAAGAACATGGAAACAGCCCAAATATTCAACTACTAATGAATGGATTGAGAAATTATGGTATATTCACACAATGGAATATTATGCAGCACACAGGAGCAATAACTTTGTAAATTATTACCTAACTTGGAAGGGACTGGATAGCATTATGCAGAGTGAACTAACTCAATCCTATAAGGATAAATACTGTATAAAACAGTTCTTGAAGAAAAAGTATAAGGATCCAGGAATGTGGGAGAGGCTAGAAGCAGAGGGATGTGGATGTGCAGGGGGAAGAGGGGATTAATCATTGGGTTGTACAATTTGATGGGGAGGGGGTTGAGAGAAATTGATAGAATTTGTTCAAATTTGTATTTGAATTTTATAAATAAACTAGAAAAATTTTGTAAATAAACTAAAAATATTTTAAAAAGTGTTGCAATAGGTGCATTTACAACAATGATGAAACAAAAAAGATCCTTTTTAAACAATATTTTTATTGGTTTTTAGATAATAATTCCTTTATGTTAAGTTTCGTGCATATACACTGTGTTTTATATAACCAAAAATCTCATGAAATTTAGTTCCTTGATTTGGAGGGTGAAGGTCCTGTTTCCTGGGGCTTCCTAGTTAAATGGCTTGATGACATGTTTGAAACTTCTGTTCTACCTTGTAGGTTGTTGTATAGTTTACGGAGTCTTGAAAGTTTCCAAGTGGCCATCCAAGGCTGAAAAATTGCTCCACAGTCACCCAGAGCAGAGGTAGAATGGGGGTCAGGAGGTCAATGCCATGGTTGGCTCTTTGCCTCTAGGGATAATCACCTCCTTTGCATGACATCAGAAGAGCTTGACTGCTCAGCTCCCTTTATTGAACATTTTGATCAATGATTTTGTAGATAATCTTCATCAAATTGGGAGGATTTCAAATGCTCTGAGACTGTAAGCTTTCTGGAGCCATGGAGGTTAGATGAACCACTGAAAGTTTTACAATCTGTAAACAGTAAAATCAAAACTATCCTCTGAGATACCATTTGACCCAGCAATTCCACTACTGGGAATATACCCTGAAGAGACCATAGCTGACATCCAAGCAGATATATGCACACCCATGTTTATTGCAGCTTTGTTCACAATAGCAAGGAGTTGGAAACAACCTAAGTGCCCATCAACAAACGAATGGCTAGAGAAGCTGTGGTATATTGGCACAATGGAATACTATGCTGCATTAAAAAACAAGGAACTCATGCAATATTATTCAAAATGGTTGACTCTGGAGAACATTATGCTGAGTGAAATATCCCAGTCACAAAAGGACAAATATTACATGATGCCACTGTTGTAGAATGGGACTGTCCTTGGGGTTGGGGAGAGACTGAGTAAGATGGGTTCAATAATCTATACTGCACTGAAACAGAGGAGGGAGAGAACCGTTTAAAAGAGAGATGTAACTGGGTATTTCTGTCATCACAGGAGACTAGAGCGGGGGCTGCATGGTGGAGGGGACCTGGGGGAGGATTTGTAAAACAATGAAAGAATCTTTTCTTTTACTTTTCCATAATTTTTGGACTCATGTACTTATAACTTGTTAGTCAAATTTGTGTCTTCTAGGTTGCAACACCCCCATGATACATCTTGAAGGATATGTACATGTACAGCCAAGCACAATCAATAAGAGTGCATCTAAATTCCAAAATCAATCTCCATAATAGTCTATGTGTTTCCTACTGCCAAAGGGGCCCTTTAGAGTAGTGAGAGAAGATCTTCACCCTGAAACCCACAGCGTCCCTTTTCAGCAGGAAGTAGCTAAGAGAATACGCCGTCCCCTTTTCCTTATGACTCAGGGTGAAGTCTCTCTCAGGGAGGAGTGATAGGGAATGGCAAAGGATACACTGACAAAGAAGATTAATCAGAACTGGCTTTGACAAGCACTGTGGCATTTGGACAAGAACAAACTGGGAGGAGGGTAGAAAGAATAGTGCAACAATGAATGAGTGGAAGCCCAAAATCTCTGTACATGTTTATGAAAATTAATAAAATATAATTATAGAAAAAAAAAAGAAAATTTGTGTGTGTGCGTGTGTACCATCAAATCGGATCTGAATGGTACAGGAAGAGATTGTCCCTCCTTTTCCAGCAAAGCTTCTGGTGGATTTGAACTGTTCACCTCTGGTATTGCAGTGCAGCTTCTTGCCAGTAGGCCACCAGAACGCACCTAAAGTTGCTTTAAAACCAAGGAATAGTGTTAGTTTAACTGGTAATTAATTAATTAATTAAATCACTCTACCTTGAGCATTGTTCTCTTTTAAGGAATTTTTACATGAGATTAAAACAACAACTGAGATTAGTTAAGAGCCTTAGGAGACAGAGAATTCATGCTAATGAGAGAAGAACACTTCAGAAAAGGAGGGCACAAACTTGAGTATCTTAAAGAATGGAAGCAAGGACCTTAAATTGCACATGTAGGAATTGTTAAATTGGTGCATGCTTTGCTATGTATATTCTCAAAAACAACAATGAAATTCAAAGCCAAACAAAATGCCATAAGAGCCCTTTTATATGTTGTTGTTAGGTGCTGTCGAGAGTTATGACTCATAGTGACCCTATGAACAACAATAGATCTGAACTCTGTCCTATCCTGTGCCATCCTCACAATTCCTGACACACAACAGCCCATTGCTTGCAGTCACTGTGTCAGTCCATCTGGTTGAGGGTCTTCCTCTCCTTTGCTGACCCTCCACCCTTCCCAGCATCATGTCCTCTCCAAGGAATAGCCCCTCCTAGCAACATGTCCAAATTATGCGAGACAGCTTTATCATCTTTGCCTCCAAGGAGCACTCTGACTGCACCTTCTCCAAGATACATGTCTTTGTTCATTTGGGAGTCCATGGGGTGTTTAGTGCTCTTCTTCTTCAACACCACAGCTCTAAGGCATGAGTTTTTCTTCTAACACCCATACTCATTGTCCAGCCCTCAGACGCATAGCAAGTGATTGGAAAGACCATTTTTATAAAACAGACAAAGTTAATCTTTTCTGATAGATTAGAGTTTAATGTGTAGGAGTGTTGACTGTGAGTGTAGACCGAGGAGCTTTCTCAAAGGTTTGATATATTCTGTCTTGATGTCTGTGCATAATCATTAACCAAAACTATGTACTTTTTATTTGTATACATCAATCATAATTAAATTATAGTGTGGTGTAGTATAAATTATACTTTGTTTTTAAAAAAATTAAAGAAAAACCCACATGAGTGGTTTCTCAGTCCTTCTCGTCCAAGGGGTCCTGCCTTGTCGTTCATCTAAAGCTAGTGCTGTGGTTCCAGTACTGGGAAACACACAATGAAGGAAAAAGAGCTGAAGAACCCAACAAGATCTGACTCAAAACACTCTCAAAGGACAAAAGCTAAGAAGGCTGAAGCAACAGACACCTTCACAAGCTTGAAGAATGAAGAGAACACAGAATTTGAGAGGTAATAGCTTCAAAGATAAGGAAGGGAGAGCAGAATCACTTGGGTATTAAAATTCTGTACCTAGTATTTGGTATTTGTTAGTGAAAGAGAGGAGGACCGTCAGTGAGATGGCTTGACACAGTGATTGTAACAATGGTCTGAGCCTGGCGGAGTTGGTGATAATACAGGACAGGGCAAGGTTCCAGTCTGTTCTTCACAGGGTCCCTGCAGTTTGTAATCAGGTTCATGGTATCTGACAAGAACAATTTCTTTCCAAATTCACCACAGTTAAATGTACTTATATCCAATTAAATCCTTATTTAATTGTGTCCCCCCCCCTTTTAATAGACTCCTATTGTAAAACTGGACCATTGGGGATAGTAAGCATTTTCTTGCCAATAGATACTGTTTCTGTTCTTGAAGAAGGTTACATATTGAAAAGGCATTTTCTACTACAGAAGTTGGCCCATGTGCTAACCTTGAACATTCTGTGGAACCCTCTCAGCTTGAGCTTCCTCAGCTGGAAAACAGAGATAACAGCATCTGCCTCACATATTGTCATCAAGAGGAGACAGGAAAGGAAGAGAATTGGACAGGAGCAGTGAGAGGGGAGCACGATTGGAGAAGCAGAATTCCTAGGAGAGGATGATTGATTAGGCCTAAGATGCAAAGAAAGGGGAAAGAAGTGTGATGATTTTCTGATAGGGAATAGAAAGAAAAAATTAAATGAGCCATTTTCAGGAATATGAGGAAGCATGGGTTGAAATAGTAGGCTTTCTGTGAGCTTGGACTGGTGAAAAACCACATCTGCTTTTCCTGTATCAACTGTGATGTTATCTGACATTTCAGTTTTAGGACAATGGAGGAAAACCTACTGTCTGATTATTTGGCAGTAAGAGGTGCTCTGATGTGCTGGCTGTGGTAGTGTTTGAGGCCACGTGTCTGCTTGGTTGGGCCGTGATTCTCAGCGGTTTGACATGACGACGTCATTTCACAATTATATGTAGCTTACCTCGCCTCGGTCTCCAAACACAGAATCTGGAGGTTTGGGGAGTTGCTGGCCACTGATTACTTTCAGGATGAGTTGCTTTTTGGGGTTCGCAGGAAGTGGGTCACCAGAGAAAGGGTTGAAAGTACCTAAGCCGAGTAACACCCAGGTTAAAATTGAAAGTTGGGAGCTTAGGTGAAAAGCACATAGTTTAGACTAGTAGAACAAAGAAACAAAAAAATGCTGACAAAAAAATTACGACACTGTTTCTTAGAGCAGGGAAATCATTGCAATTATCAATGTGGCTGTGCCCTGAAGGTAGCACCAGCTGGCATTTCCATAGCAGTGGATTTTGTAGAAACCGCGCTCTCAACAGCAAGACGAATGAGTCAATCGAAAGCAAATGTCTGCAATGCAATCATCAAACATGATATGTGGGAAGAAGAACACATTTTTATTCCATGCCAATAGTATAAAACAGATAGAAGCTGTGTCACATTCAAATCATTTTCCTAACATAAACCACTGCATTACGGCATCATGTGAATCCAAGAAACAGAGAAAAAGTCTGAAACTGAGTAAAGAGCTGAGCAAGAGGGCATGCGAAGCATAAACTCCAAAAGACACATCTGCTAACATTTTTTTAGCCTAAATTGTTCATAAGTTCAATTTAAACAACTTGAAAAGAAGTCTAATGGGCTGACCAAAAGTAAATGGTTTTGCTCTCACAGTGTATTATGCTTCCTCTTCTGTCAGCTCCATTCTATAATTGGATTACAGTGACCAAAAAGACTTCATACAATTGTTCCAAGGGGCATTTTCATTTTGCCAACAGGTCTCAGATTCACAAGCCCATTTAGGCTTCTGAAAGACAGTGTCTAGTCCTTCAAAGGAAGATCAAGTTACAAGTAATGTTCAGGAGTTCTCGTGGGCTAGTGGCAAGAAGTTGGCCAATCCTAAGGCACGTGGTTCGAATCCACCAGCTGCTTGCAGAAGAAAGAGAAGCAAACTCCTCCCATGTGATTTACAGCCTCTGAAAACCTGCTAGAGGTGAGCTATGAGTCGGTTCTGACTCAACAGCACACAGCAGCAACAACTAGGAAGGCTATGCAGGTACCATGGGTTTCAGGAGACAACCTACTGCCTCTATGTCCCTCTTGATAGATAAAACTTAATGAAAAAATATGATAAACAATGTGTTTTTGAAATATTAAATAGCTGTGTAATAAGAGTGAGTTGTGCTACTATCCCAAAGGTCCCAATTCAAATCCACAAGCTGCTCCACAGAAGAAGGGTGAGCAATTCCCTCCCATGCCATTGACAGCATCCAAAAAGTGGCTGCAGGGTCAGCTATGAGACGGTTCTGACACCACAGCAAAGAATGAACTTAGCATGCCAGTCATATTTATCCAGTGTCACTATGATGTGAACACATACCTTTGCACATCTGCTGGGGTTTGAGGACATAGCCACAATTGCCATTTGTCTTGAATTTGGCTCGATTTAACTGCATCATTCGCCCTTCAGACTGGTAGTTCAGTGCCACTGTGGAAGTTGCAAGTTTGAGAACTGAGTACACTAGCGTCATGGAGTCAGGGTAACCAGGGAATGTCCTTCCCGAGGTGTCCGGGGTGTACGTACCTAGCTGACAGCCTGCATTCCAGTAAGGCAGAGGGTTGAAGTTACTGGAATCGATCCGGTAGGCAGAGGGGTAAATCCGTGTGAGCTGCTTCTGGTTATAAATCATGAACTGCTCGGATTTCTGCTGAACCACCTGATGTGCTCTTGTTTCACTGAATGATAACACATTTCCTGTGGTCCCTGGTAGATTTTAATAAAATGTCAAAACGAGAACTGCAGTAAAGAAAACACATAAATTGACAACGCGGGAAAAGAGCCTTAAAATGATGTCTGAACTTATGAGCAGTGTCACCGTGAAGAGTGGATGGACTTGACAGAGTGGAGCAGGTCCTGGCGAAGGTGGTGGTGGTTGTCAGGTGCCATTGAGAGACCCTCGGAACACTGTTCTATCCTGCACCATCCTCACCATCTCAGACACACAAAATACCTTTCTTAGGAATCTTTCACCAGTTCAAGGCTGTATCATATTTGTGCATCTTCCCAAGTTTCTATTTCTGGATACCCTATTCTCACAAGAATTCAATCACTCATCACTTTATGCCCATCTTGTTCATATTAATAATAACACTGTTGTTGCTGGGTACCATTAAGTCAGAATGGACCCATAGTTGACCCTCCAGCGGGTTTTCAGAGGCAGTAAATCACACAGGAAGAGACTACTTATCCTTCTCCCAGGGAGCAGCTGGTAGATTTGAACCGTCTACCTTAGTATTGGCAGTGCAATTCCATTCTACTAAGCCACCAGAGCTCCCTAAGTAGGAAAATTATTTTTCTCAAAATATATCTCTAGCAAGGGAATAGACATGTGTGGATAAATAAAACAACCAACGTAACTTATTGCTGATTGATAAGAAGACAACATCTCTGAAAAGATTCATCTACAAGGCACTCAAGTGAAACACACAATAGCACATAGGAATCAGGATCCAAAGGGGAAAAAAAGACTAATTACAGAAAAGAAAATTTGGGTTTTAAAGCTCATTTGAGTAGAATTCTAGAACCAGCAAAACCTATTTTGGAGAAAGAAATGTAATAGACAAAGTTAAAAAGACCATAAAAAAAAATAAAATTTCAGAAACAAGGATAGAAGACACCCACCTGGTAAGGCTTAGAAACAAAAACAAAAATGAAAAATAGGAGTAGGAGAATATGAAGCAAATTCTAAAATTTCTACTTGAACCATTAGGATAGGTCAACAGAGCCAGGAAAGCTATGTGTGTGGGATTCATGATGGCATGAAAACCCAAACATTTAATATTCTACCCTTCCCTTTTTTCCCACGTTCTGTAATCTATCACCACTACCTCTCCACGAAACACCCCATCCCATCTCAAATCATCCGTATGTATGTCCTCTGACCAGGCAAGAAGAGGCCAAGCCCAGAAAAAGACTGGCACTTGCTTCATTCTCATTCAAATGTATACTCTTAACAAGTTAACACAGCCATGAACTGAGCTGATCTAGAATGAGGTCTCAAAGGAACAGGTTCAGCAACCCTCACAGCCTCCTGGAGGTCCTGTAGCCCCTGAGTTGCACAGCTCTGTTTTACGCTGAGCAACTGAACAACAATCCAGAGCCTGACTCTCAAATGGGAGGCAAAGATACCAGAATATTCCATTTCAGCCTGATGATTTCTCTAGTGTAGACTCTTTACTTTAAAAAAATAAATGTATATGTTTAAGTATATTATTAACACATTTATATGTATCTCAAGCATACTAAAAATTATTGTCTATCCAGATTTGGAACATGATGTGTGTGTATGTATATATGTATACACACACACACTAAAAAGTCAAATTCAGATGGAATGACATCCATCCCATTGTTTCTTCTGTCTCCTTTCATAAATAAACATATCACATTATCACTAAGATGACCTTGCTAATTGGACACATATCAATTAGTATATTAATGGAGTTGAGTTGTTTTGCATCAGGATAAGCTTTGCATTCATTATCTTTTCCTCATTTTGTGGTTCATTTGAAAAAGCAAAAACAGATGAAGGTCAAGAGCTAAATAATACTCGATATTATTTTCCATGAAGCTAATAGGATTAGGGTTTCCTGAGGAATTTATTGAAAATTATATTACTCTAAAACAAAACTATTTCTAACACCATTAAACTAGCCCCAGAGTTTCTCATAGGGCAGGTGTTAAAAAATTTGTTGTTTACTTGCTAAGAATCCCATCATATTCTTATTGAGAAATACTTGCTTTTTTACTATTGTCCCCATTTTATGAAGGATTAAATACTAAAGGGAAGAAAATCTGTAGGTTGAGCAATAAATATTTGTGGAGTAGGGGGAAAAGGTAAGGGAAGAATTCAATGACAACAACATCGTTTTCCCTTCACTAAGACTTGAGAAAATGAGAGATCCTAATTTGAGGGGGAAACCTGATTAGAGGGGAAACCACATGACTATATTGATTTCAACAATCATTTAATATCTGACTGCAAGAGCAATGAGAAAGGAAGAGGAGAAAGGGGAAATAACAAGCAGCAATGTCAAAGCAAAGAATGTTGTTGTTGTTGTTGTTGTTATACTCAGTCTAATCTCTTGTGACTCATAGTGACCCTATGTACAACAGCTCTGAACTCTGCCTTGTCCTGAGCCAATTTCAGCCTCTGACACACATACCCCTATTCCCCCAGTAACTCTGTCAAGCCATCTCATCTAGGGTTTTCCTCTCCTCCTCTGTCCCTCCACTATCCCAAGCATAATGTCCTTCTCCAAGGACTGAGCCCTCCTGGCAACATATCCAAAGTATGTAAGACGGACCTTCAAAATCCTTGCTTCCAATGAGTAGCTTGGTTTCACCTTCTCCAGGATGAGCTGTAACTAAAATTTGTCAGCTCAAAAATACAACTGATTAATGAAAACTCTTTGTTACTGAAATTTCTCTTCATTTTGTCAAAACTGTTGTTTATAAATAAAGTCATTTTCAAAAAGTAAAAATTTCCTGTGAGAAAATATCACATTTTTCCAAGGGGCTATATTAGCCAATTAATGTCTTCTTTCTTCCAACAAGCTACATCAAGTTTCCACAGTTCCAGGCTTTAAGGAAATCTTTGCTGTAATGCCTTTGATTTGTTAATAATAATTATAAATCTCCCCACTGGACTGTAGGCAATTCCTCTGACCTCTAGGGAGTCAGGCAACCACGGTAATCCCCATAGCCCTCCAGGGGAGCCGGGGACTGGACTAGCCAAGACACGCCACACAGTCCAGCAACATGTGATAAGTGCCTCGTTCACAAAAGCTTAAATAACAAAGGAAGACTGTGCACAAACAGAAAGCTCTCGGGCCTCACCATCATCCACGATATCCTGGGCAGCCACGGAGTTCGTGTAGATCACCAGATCGGAGAGCTCTCGACAGAGCTTCATGGTTTTCCTTCGACGGCCCAACCTGCGAAATGAACACTCACGACTCAATGATGTCTTAGTGCTGTAAGAGGTGTGGGCTTTTGATAACTCTATTTGTCTCACCTAACAGAAGGATTATGTGACTTTCCCAAGCAAGGTCAAGTGGAGTCAAGAATAGAACCCAAGGATAATTCGAGTCAGCCCTCTTTCTACAGAGATTTTCATCTGTATCCTCCCAGAAATCACAATCTTTTCTCATATATTTGAGAAAGTCATTGGGGTAAAAGGGCATTATTTCCACTCATCCAACTTGACTAACCACCAAAATTCACCAGAGAACCACCCCACCTATGGAGAAACACCTTGAACTAAAAAAGGAGTTCAAAGACAGGGTGGTGACAGGTCATGACATTTAGTTATCTCAAACCCAATTCTTATTTTAGTGATTATCTTTTACAGGTATAATTATGAGTAAATTTTATTTTCATCTTTATGCTTTTCTCTATTTTCAGCTTTCTCAAAATAAAAATACATTAGGTAGTACTTTTTTATCGTAAATATTTTTTCCTTTCTCCCCTCTATAAACCACTCCTAAGATCTTTTGTACAACCTTACAGATTTTATCAGTATTGTTTACAACCATAAACTACCATCTAATACACATTCGTCTCTTCTGGAAGAATAAGTAACTATCAAAACCTAGAATTGTGTCTGAAGAAGATATAAAAATGGCCAAGAAGATGTGCAATATACTCAATTGTTGTTTTTATGCAGCATTGAATCAGAACAGACTCATAGTTGAGCCCCCAAAGGGTTTTCAGAGTCAATAAATTGCATGGGAAATTTTCCAATCTCTCTCCTCTGGAACAGCTGGCGGATTTGAACTGGGTGCCTTAGACTTGTCAGTGCCACGCCCTACCCCTAAGCCACAAGATGTTTCTCAACAGAATGGTTGTACTTAAAAAGGCTGAAAATAACAGGTGTCGGTAAAGATGGAGAGAAACTGGAGCCTTCATACATTGGTGGGGAATGTGAAATGGTGCAACCACTTCAGATCCTCAGCAGATCCTTAAACAGTTAAATAGTTATCATACAACCAGAGCCAAAGAGGAGGAAAGAGA